AAAAAAAAAAAAAAAAAAAAAAAAAAAAAATAGGTCCTGGTAAAAATTAAATTAAAAATAGGTCATTTGTAGCTGTTTTCCTCTGTTTGAAATAAACCAACATTTGTTATCAGACTGGTAGTGGTGGATGTTTTTTTTTTCATTTTTCTATAATTCCTTCAACATGGTTAGTCAATAAATATTTATAGATAATATTTACTTGTCTCCAAAACTATTATTAATTTAGAGATTTCAAAGCTAAGCTGGAAGGAAAAAGGTTCAGGTAAAAAGTCATTTCAAGAGCCACAAAAATGTCATTTCCCCAGAAAGACTCTTTCAGCACATACAGTTGATTAAAGATTATGTGATGAATTTATCATGAGAAGCAGCCTGGAGGTGTTATTGGGAATTCCAATGCAGACAGACGTTTTTCTTCTATTTAGCCTTCTACTAAATATTGGTTATATACATCCTAGACTTCAATGGTACAATTATATACTGATATTATCATTTTAGCATCTGAAAGGTCAAATTCTTTTTAATATGGAGACCAAAAATTCTCCTAGTATTTACATCCTTCCCAGGAATTCCTCTCTTTGGTCCTGATTGTCCTGTCTCCAGAAACAAAGAGCAAAAGTTAAATCACAGACTTAAAGCACACTTTCAGACCACCTACTGATTTTACTAAATTTGGTTTTTGGAAAATGCTGAGCTCAATAAAATTGGGATAAAACATAGGTAAATAAAAGTGTTTTCTTTTGTTTGGGGAAGCATAAAGGAAAAGAGTAATAGATGTTTTACAGTACTAATGGCCATAACTGTTTTGGCTTTTTTAGAGTTTAAATCAAGAACAGAAATCAGGCTTTGCTTTTTTCTTAGTCGTTTATACAAACATGTTTAATGCAAGAGACTGAAGCTGCCATCAATTTTTTTGGAAACACTATTTTATGTTAGATTTGATCTGACTTAAACTCAGATCTTCAGTGAAGGGCCAATAAGCATAAATTAGAAAAGAAAGTCCACGTTTACTTAAGTTTTCATTCATCCCTATGTAATATAATACAAAATAATAAATATATACTGTAAAATGTTCATTAAAGGCCAAAAATATAAATTGGAAAAAAAAAAACTTTCCAGGATCCTCCAAACAGAGACCACAATTATTTATTTACTTATTTGTTTACCTATTTTAAATAACGTATTGGTTTTGTATTGTTATGATACAGTCAAGATTGTGTCATGCATACAACTTTCTGTCCTTGTTTTTACCTAGTAATGGTTTAAGCATCATTTCCTGTCATTTTCTATCATTCAAAATGATTAGCATTGCAAAGGCTGTATTAAGAATTCATTATGAGGAATTAGAGAGATGGTTCAGTTATTAAGAGCACTTGTTGCTCTTGCAAAGGACCAGGGTTCAATTCCCAGCACCCACATGGTGGCTCACTACTATCTGTAACTCTAGTCCCAGGGTACCTGATGACCTCTTCTGATCTCCAAGGTCCATACACATACATGCAGCAGAACACTCATACACTAAAATAATAAAACAAATAAATTTTTTAAAGATTTAGAAAAGAATCCATCACAGAGCTGGGCACGTAAGCCAGTTGTACAGCACATGCCTAGCCTGTATGAATCTGGGTTCAATCTCTAAAACAATTCACCATGAAAAACAAAGAAAAAGTTCTCAGCACCAAAAGATGGAAGCAAGACCGTCAGGAGTTCCAGACCAGCCTGGTCTACTTGAGACCCTGCCTCCATGCCCCTACCCCCCAGCCCAAGCATTCCTATACAAGAAAAGAAAATGTTTCTTCTGATGACCAAAGCTGTCTAAAGACACCAGACAGCAAACAGGTAGTGGATCCAGGTCAGTGGAGGAGAAAGGCTAATCAATTCCTTGTTCCAGAGTGGACTGAAGTGAGTAACACCTGGAGGGCATTAGACCAAGCAAACTGAAATCTCATCCTCCGCTTCGATGGCTCTCAGAGTACCTAGCCTATAATACAACCCACTCTATACTTCAGTGGGTATTTCACATCAGTATCTGATGGGAGGCCACTCAGAGCCATATTTGAGGAATTATTTTTCCTCCATGGAAATGTGTACCATTATTACAGAGCAAAAGACTCTGACAAACCTCGATTCACCTTGTCAGCTCTAAGAACTATCGCCAGTAGGAGTTCATGGGTGTGAACGTTTCCGCCATCAGTATTCCTGATCCGATGCATGAATTCAACTAACCAGGTGCTCTTTCCTTAACGAGTGTTGGAAAACCTTCAGGAATTTTCCTCTGCCGGCCAGATGTGGTGGCCCATGCCTATCTATAATCCTAGCACTGGGGAGGTTGACACAGGTCATCCTTGGCTATAAAGCAAGACCAAGGCTAGCCTGGGCTACACGAGATCCTGTCTCAAAGTAGTAAAAGAAAAAAAAGACATTGTCCTATGCCATATTTCCCAAACTATTTTTCTTTAGCTATTGAGTCTTTTGTCAACTAGAAATCTTTCTACAGAAGACAAGTGAGGGACAAAAGCATTTGAGTCAAAGCCAAGAGACCCCTGCCTGCACACCACCTGTTAGACCTGAGGATGCTCCAAAGAGCTTGAAAGCCCAATGCAGGCCACTTTGCAAACTACTAGTAAGTGGATGGTTGAACTGTACACAATGTACCAAATGGCTACTTGTGAGTCTGGGATCCAGAGTGGAGCAAAGAGCTGTGGCCCTTCCCAATCAGTTACCCCATCACACTGTGGCCCTTCCCAATCTACCCCACCATCACACTGTGGTCCTTCCCAATCTACCCCACCATCACACTGTGGCCCTTCCCAATCTACCCCACCATCACACTGTGGCCCTTCCCAATGTACCTCATTATCAAACTGTGGCCCTTCCCAATCTACTCCATCATCACACTATGGCCCTTCCCAATTTACCCCACCATCAAACCGTGGCCCTTCCCAATCTACCCCATCATCACACTGTGGTCCTTCCCAATCTACCCCATCATCACACTGTGGTCCTTCCCAATCTACTCCATTCACAAAGCTGATCTTCAGAAGTTTCGATAGCTGTCAGGGCACACAGCACACGGTTGTTGTTGTTTTCAGAACTAAAGTTACATAAACTTATTCAAATTTACTAAGAGCACCATCTGACTCCATTCTTTTGAACACCATATACCAGTCCCTGGGTGTTCCTACCCAAACTGTACACCTGTTGCTTTTCACACCAAGAAGTCTGAAGAGCCAATGGACTTTTCCTTCCATAGTGTGGTCTGAATGTACACTTGATGTTCTCAAAGTTTCTCTACTAAGGATGTAGGGACTTGGGGACGGGAGCATCACAAAAAACACATGCCTCAATTTGGTTAATTAAAGACTTACTTCAGCAGGCTACCCTCCAAAAAGAAACAAGAGAGATTTGGGAAGCAAAGTCATAATGCCCTCAGAGCTAACTCACCTCCCAAGGACAAGGATTTGTTGATCTCCACAGAGAGGCCTTTTGCTCTGAGACGCTACCAAACAACATGAGAGCTCTGTGCCCAGAAAAAAAAGCCTCCTGGGTCACCCAAGGTCTGGTACTTTCTCTTATTCAAATAATATCTTTCAGTTTGGAATTATATAAAGTAAATTTTCCAGTAGCTTAACACCAGGCTTATTATCAGCCAAGTTCCCCTTCCTCTACCTCAGTCTGTGGGGCCAACAATGTCGACTAGCTAACCCTGCTCCCTTCCTCTTTGTTCAAGTCAACTTTTGTTACAGGTTAACTTGGTACCAGCAGAAAAGGAAGGTTGGTGTAACTAAGGCCCTCAGAACGGGGTTTATTTAGAAATAAGCTTTTCACCGAGATAGTGTTAGCATTGGCTCACTGGGGTGAGATCTGGTTAGCTTGTCCAGTGTCTTCATAAAAGGGAGAAACTTGGATGCAAAAACAGACATATATAAAAGGAAGATACTGTCAAAACATGGGGAGAACCCGTGCACCAGCCAGGGAGGACCTGGGGCCATCATCAGAAGCCAGGCGAGCTTCACAAACATAGGAACCAGCCCCAACTACACCTTGATTGCAGAATTCTAACTTCCAGAACTGTGAGCTAGGAAGCTCTGTTGATATCACCCAGTCAGTGGCACATGGTTAATGACGTGCTAGGAACCAATTACGACTAGGGAGGCTGGAGGCACGACACCCCTGGCTGTTCAGACACCACTGCACCCCAGAGTGAGCATGCAGAGTAACTTTTGACAGTGGCACATCAGTCTGCTGGTGCTTCTCGGGAAACGTCTGCTGTAGGGAGTGCCAGGGAAATGATGGTGGGCTATGAGATTTGAAGAACTGGGAGTGTGGAACTTCCCTCAGGCCTTCAGGAGCATCAGGCTATGTCCACGGCTCCTACAGAGCCTTTCCAGCTGAGGCAGTAAGCAAAGCCAGCAAAAAGAAAGTCTACACCAAGGTGAACAAGCTTGTGTGATTCCTATAGTTAGTTTAGGAAACGAGGAGAAATTGATCAGGTCACATCATCTCTACACTTAATCAGTTCTCATTCAAATTAGTAAGCTAGGAAATACCTCAAACTGTAGAAAAATGTGCCTCAAAATGTAAAATGCAGAAATGTTGCATGTTTCAGCCATTGTACAAGAAGCCTTTTATTCTTAAACACCTGTTACATGACCTGAAATTCTAGGCAAAATAACATCCAGAAAGTCCTTTTGGATTCCTGGGAATCCAGAGGTAGGACTTTCTCTGAGGCAGAGGGTTTCAATCAGGAATGACTTTGCCCTTGTGGGGAGGCATTTGGTTATGTCTAGGTTGTCTCAAATTGAGGCTGAGGGTTGCCCTGGGATCTAACAGGAAGAGGCTAGAGATGCTACTAACACCCTGCAATGCACAGGACACTACCACCAAATGCCACACACACACATATAAACACAAATACACACACAACACTCACACACATATACACATATGCACACATACATACACACACATATATATACAGACACATACACACACAGATATACAACACACATATACATACATACACATATATACACTCATACACACACACATACACACACACACACACACACACACACACACACACACACACATTATCCCATACAGAGCTAGCTATGAGAGTACACACCTATAATCCCAGAACCCAGGAGACTGAGGCAAGAAGATTATGGGTTCAAGAAAAGTCTGGCTATATAAGACCTTCTCTTCAAAAAAGAGGAACAAGAAGAGGAGGAAGGGGGAGGAGGAAGAAAAGGAAGAGAAGGAGGAGGAGGAGGAGGAGGAGGAGGAGGAGGAGGAAGAGGAGGAAGAAGAAGAAGAAGAAGAAGAAGAAGAAGAAGAAGAAGAAGAAGAAGAAGAAGAAGAAGAAGAAGAAAACAATCTAGTCTAAATATCAATAGTACCATAGTTAAGAATCCCTGCTCTAAGATATGGTACAGCTAATTTTTAAAGAGAAAATTAAATTTTGCCAGAAGCAGAAATTGAAGGAAGAAGTAGAAACAACTTAGGGAAGAAGTGGGGGCGGTGTCCCCAATTCTCCTGAGAACTGCACATCTAGCTGAGGGAGCATGCACGGCCCCAGAGTAAACAGGAAGAGAGGTGTTCTGTGGCAGAGAGCGCACACAAAGTGGACAGTGTGCCAGGCCAAGCCTGCGGGGCCCTCGCATGGGATGACTCAACAGCTGGCTGCCTGTAGCCATGGCAGCTGGCAGCGAGAAGCAGCTTCCTCCACAAACAGATTCATCAATTTCTAAAGCGCCCGTTCTTCAAAAACATTTCTAAGACAATGCGCAAAATCCATTTTCTCCTGATTTTACTTGAAGATGAGTCACGCAAGACACCAGCTACATGCTTGATTTGGGGCTTTTAAATGGGGAAGTGCAGCTATTGAGAAAAATTACAGGGTAGGAGAGGTCAAGAAAGACACTAAAATGACTGAATCATTCCCATTTGTATGGGAAGTGGGGGAGGCACAGTCAGCTTAACCAATTTACACCACTTTGCTTTAGAAAATAAACATATACATCATGCTGGCAACCATATGCCATGGTTCACATGCTGGAATTAAAATAGCAAGGGGGAAGCAGGGAAATATAGAATGAAAAGCAATAAAATGAGTGTGTGGGGAGTGGGGGGACATGAGCTATCAGTGCACACATACTACCACTCAAGACAACTTCCTGAAGTTCTTCTCAGTTCTGTAAACAATTCCTTGCCTCAGTTGGGTTCCTATGTGTAAACTGAGTCACAGGGGAAAAAAATGGACTTACCCTCATATATTACAGAGTGCAGCTCAGCTATAAAAACACTGTGCACTGGGTAAAAGGGCCATGAGAATTACTTGTAGAGCATAGGTGAATTTTAGCTTGGTTTTTTTTTTTATTATTTACAAATTCATTCCTAAACTAACTTTTTTTAAAAAAGTCATTGTGGAGCTAGTTCGAGGGTTCAGTCAGTAAATCACTGCATTCAAAGGACCAGGACCTGAATTCAGTCCCCAGAACCTACATATCAAAAGCAGGGCATGGTAAGGTGGTGACAAGCAGATCCTGAGGCTCACAGTCCAGGCAGGGTAGCCTACTAATGATTTTCAGGCTAGTGAAAAACTCTATTTCAAAAGCTAAAAAATTTAATGATACCTTAAGGAACAATGTTGACCCAAGGTCACCTTCTAGCCTCCACATATAAACACACACACACACACACACACACACACACACACACACACACACACACACACACACACCACATTCACTCACTCACAAAAAAAAAGAAAAAATTAAAAAGAAAATGTAGTGTGTATATTTAAGGTATATAAAGATGTTGCAAGATGCCTATTTAGTGAACACCTTGGAACAGATTAGTACATATATCATCTCTCCTCTTGCCCTTTCTACTACGACATGGATGGACCTAGGGGACACTGTGCAAAGTGAAAGAAATCAGACACAAAAAGAAAAATATTGCATAATCTCACCTACGTGCAGAATCTTAAAGATCTTTAAAACACATATAGAAAGCAGTAAACAATAAAGCTGTCGTTACTTGGGACAGGAGGAGAGGAGACGGGGGAAATACAAAACACACAGCACCGACCTGTGGGTGAGCGACACTGACCGATGCAAAAGCACACGTGTCTCCTCTTGAGTGAGTCTGACATCAAAAGAAGAACTAGCCATCATGGGGTTCTACATGCACATGTGATGCCATTTGCCTTCGACCTCATTAGCTGGGACCCAATCATTTGGAGTTGATGATCCCTGCAACAGGCTGACGTCCACACCGCTAAGTGGAGCTTCGCTGATGACAGCTACTGACCGTGTGGATGATGACGCAATGGAGCATGGATCTGCTCTAACCTGAATGGTCCCTTTTACTGTTTATGGGGCAGGTCTCCTCACTGCCTCTCTGGGGCCTCAACATGGTATGCAGAAGACAGAAGGAAGGACAGAGGGGGAGGAGACACAGCCGCAATAGTTATTTTGTTGTTTTGATTTGCCAGACAGTGTGTGAACATGTAACAACTGTTCCATTGAATGCCTCTAATAAACAATAACCTTATGGAAGCAAGTACTAGTAACTTATTTCCTAGCAAGACTTGGCCTAACCTGACCCCGCAGGACAGCGACTCCTCAATGGCTCAGGCTATTTATAGTCTCCATTCATCCCATCCGGCGTGGCTTGCAGGTTCTGCTGTAGTGCAGTGAGTGTGGCTGGCAATGGGGTACAGTCTAGACCCCTTGTGGAGAGCTGTGTGTGGTTGATATATGGCTTTTTTACATATTTAGTTTGCAAGCCCATGAGTACCCTACATTCGAAAGCATGCTGGGGAGTGTGGTGGAACAGGCCTGCAATTCTAGCACTCGGGAGGCCTTATAAAGGAGGGGGGTTCCTGTGAGTTGGAAGCCAGCCTGGGCTCCATAACGAAACCCGTTCTCAAAAACACTACTCACTAACCCAAAAAAGAAAATGCTCAATGAGCCTGAAGAATTTCACAGTTTTGAACAGGAACTGTGAACTTTGTACCAGATGCTAATAAGTTAAGAAAGTAAAATCTAAGAAGTGGGGACCGTAGCTCACTGATAGAGCATCCTTCCCAGTGTGAGAACCTGGGTTCTGTCTTCAGTATTGCAAAAAAGAAAAAGAGATCGTTGGGTCTGGGGAGCTAGCCCCATGGTTCAAGTGCTCGATGCGTCAGCAAGAGGGCCAAACCGGGATTCCAGAACCGACATTAAATGCCCGTGGCTCACTCGTCATCCTAGCCTTGAACGACAGAGACAGGACTCTCTAGAGCAAGCTGTCTGGTGAGGCTGACCCTACCACCAAGCTTTGGGGTTGACTAGTCCCAAAGGAAGACTCCTGATATGTATCTCCAGTCTCCATAGGCCCATGCACCTGCAGGGTCCCAGACGCATGCAAACAGATACACATACACACCACACACAGACAGACACATACGTACCACACAGAGGCACATGCAAGTAGATAGATACATACACACCACACACAGACACATGCAAACAGATACATACACCACACACAGACACATGGAGGCCGTGAAGGGAGAAGGGAGAGAAAAAGAAACAGGAAAGGTCACTGAAAATCTCAGAAACCATGACCTCCGGGTCTTGCCAGAGCTCACGCCACCCTGAGTAAACGCGTAGGAGAAACAGGGCACCGCATGGACAGCTCCACCTCCATCAAAGACTCGGGCCATCCGATGTACCGCTAAAGGTGGCGCAAACCAGCTCCATTACATAGTAACTACTTCCAAGACACAGCTGCTGTGTGCGGAGTGAATGCTGAAGAAGTTGTACGGGGCCATGGCCTACTCACCTTCTTCCTGTTCTCCTCCTGGATGCCGAGCTCTCGAACCCTCTCCAATATGGCACCCTCCGTGGACCCAGCCGTATCCAATCCGCCGCAAAGAAGAAGCGCAGCGAGCTTCTCCCTGAAGGAGGAGCTCTGGCTTTGCGAGGCTGCCGCTGCATCCCTGCTGGCTGTCAAGCTCAGGTCCAGCTGTTGGCAGCTTTTCCTCAGCTGGGTCAGCTCTTGCTTCGAAGCGTCCCAGGCTCGCTGCACAGCAAGCAGCCTTTCTCGGGAGAGCTTAGCTTCCTTTTCTAGGGCTGTTCTTGCTTCCACAGCACTGAGCAAGTCCTGAAAGATTATAGAACAAAAAGAGCAATGGGGACATCCGCACTGGATGAGGTCTTCGTTTAACCTCTCCTACCCACGTGACTCCAAGAACTTAGGGTTAGGTGTGCCTTATGATCTTGGTTCTAAGGTCTCTCCGTGGCTTCATAAAGTTATTAAATATAGTTGTTTGGGCTGGAGAGAGAGCCTAGTGGTTAAGGGCACTAGCTGCCCTTCCAGAGGACCCCAGCTTGATTCCCAGCACCCACACAGTGTCTCATAACCATCTAGAATTCCAATTCCAATGGATCTGACACCTTGTGGTGATATTGTGTTCCCCAAAATATTGTGCACCCTAATAAACTTATCTGGGGTCATAGAATAGAACAGCCACTAGATATAGAGGCCAGAAAGTGGTGGCCCACACACCTTTAATCCTCGCACTCCAAAGGCAGAGATCTGTCTGGATCTCTGTAAGTTCAAAGCCACACTGGAAACAGCCAGGCATGGTGACTCACGCCTTTAATCCCAGGAAGTGATGGCAGGAAGCAGAAAGGTATATAAGGCGTGAGGACTAGTAACTAGAGCTGGTTAAGCTTTTAGGCTTTTAAGCAGCACAGTTCAGCTGAGAGGCATCCAGTCTGAGGAAACAGGATCAGCTGAGGAATTGACGAGGTGAGGAAGCTGTGGCTTATTCTGTTTCTCTGATCATTTAGCATTCACCCCAATACCTGGCTGTAGGTTTGTTTATATTAATAAGACCTTTTAAGATTCATGTTACAGATACCCTCTTCTGACCTCCACAGGCACCAGGGATGCATGTGATTTACATTCATACATGTAAGCAAAACACATATATAAAAAAAATCAATAAATAAATCTTTTTATTTAAAAAAAAAGCTGTTTGAGGTACTTAGCTTGTGACTAAGTCAATAGAGTGCTTATCTAGCATGCACAAAGCCCTGTATTCTAGCCCCATGGTCACAGAAAGCCAGGCACAGTAGAGCACAGCTGAAAACCCAACAATGAGGAGGCAGATGCAGGAAATCGCAAGTTCAAAGTCATCCTCTGCAAGTTTGGGGCTAGCCTGGACTACATGGGTCACTGTCTCAAAAACAAACATACATTATTTGAATGCAGTGGCTGCTTTAATCCTGTGTTTAAAACTAGACTGGTAGTCTCTTAGAAGTGTCACTTCCCGTTCACTCACTAACTTCTCTCAGAAAGAAAAAACGGGAACTGATAGAGCCTGAGAAAGAAGGGCTAAAAGACTGCCGGGGCGGGGGGGGGGGGGGGGGCAGATTGAAAGGAGGAGATAAGACCCACACTTAGAAAAATAATCTTGAAAAATACCATAGGTAGCCAGAGATTAAGAAAAAATGAAATGCAGGCCACAGAGACGTGCACCTACTTCTTTAACTACCGGTCGAGTGCCAAAACATGCAAATTCTCCAACAACGGGTCGGCCTGCCTTACGACATAGTCTTGACGCGTAGTTACCTAGTTAAGGATCTTTCCTTTTATTTTGTAATGAAAATAGAATGTGAGGGGCAAAAAGCACAGAAAAGAGACAACATCCTTGACCACAGACTCACCCGACGGGGCCAGTAACATTTCTGGCTGTTAGCTAAGATACAGTCATTGTTTTTACACTAGAAATGGTCTTTAAAGGGAATTTCTCTCCACCAACAGTTAGGAGACAGGAAAAGGGATGGGCTGAAATGCTACTTCCTATTTCATAGAGAAAATATAACATCTTCCCTTTTTTCTTACGGTGATTCTAAAATTAAATAAATAAAACAAGGAAGTCTCAGTTATCAGTTGGAAAGAAAAAATGCCCAGAGACAAGGTAGTTAGAAAAGCCTGCCCCTTGCAGGGTAATCACTCTTTGGGGTACTTATTTTGTAAAATGCTTTGCTTTTTAGGGACTTGGTTTCCCCTGTCTCTTTCAAGAACACCCACATCACTGCTAATTAAATCACAGGCCTTAAAGTACAGCCCAGGTCCTTTAACAAAGAGACCATATTTTTAGCGTTTACCGATTTCTTTCAGATAGGAACATGGTATCTGCCCACTTGCTCACTTTTGGTAGCCAGGAGCAGTGTTGGTAGTGAACAACTGGACTCGTGTTTTTACTTAGAAAACGGATGCCCTAAACTCGATGCAAGGATAAAAGTTAACCCGAATGAGTTCCAAAGCCATATAGACTATCACATAGTAGCTTGTGTGTGAAAAGAAGCCCCCACATGCAAAAGCGGGAATCTCTTATTGTCAGTAGTGACATTTGAAAGCAGCCCTACAAAAAGCCTTTAAGATACATTAAAAAAAGAAATATCTATCAGAGCAAGATGGCTCAGTGGATAAAGGCAATTGCCACCAAGCCTAAAGACCTGAGTTCAATCTCCAGGACTCATCTGGTGGAAGGGGAGAACCAACTCACCTGTAAGCTGTCCTTTGGCCTCCAGACATGCACATGTATGCTAGCAACACATGCTAGCAACCCACACAAAAATAAATAAATATAACATGCTTTTAATTTAAATCTATCAGATGCTAGAGTATGATAGACTCGCTACAATTTGAAGTAGACCAATCAAATGTCATCTAATACCAAAAGAGCACCAAACATAATTAAAATATTTTAGCTTTGAAGACTGTTTCTACCCTACTATCTACTACCAATTTAATCAAACACCCTACAACAGTGGTTCTCAACCTGTGGGTCATAACCTCTTTGGTGGTTGCTTAACATATATCCTGCATATCAGATATTCACATTATAGTTCACAGCAGTAGCAAAATTAGTTATTAAGCAGCAATGAAATAACTTTATGGTTAGGGGGTCACCATGACATGAAGAACTATATTAAAGGGTCACAAGCATTAGGAAGGTTGAGAACCACCCCCCTAAAACAAAGCACTGCCTCTTTTTAATCTAAGCACCCATCATAATGTCTACTAAAAAATCACAAAAGTAGTTTGGTTGGATTTTTTTTTTTTTTCTGGAAACATCCAGCCCAGTGGACTCTAATCTGTTTCTCTATGAAATGAAGGAACCGGAGCCAGCAGCAGACCTTGGGGACAGCCACTCCCCGGTGCTCTGATTAATCACTCTGGGACTCAGCTGCACTGGTCTACTGGAAATAGATGTCCTCGGGACTGCAAATGCAATTACCTCCCCAAGTCCCCAGGAGCAAGCCACCGCACTGGAGTCTGGTTGCATGGCTACCTCAAGGATGCCCTGAAGCATGAGACATGAGGTGACATGAGCATTGGCTAGGCGTGACCTGGTGACAACTGTCAGACCACACTGACATGGACGGAGAAACACACAACTTCTTTCCCAGAAAGCTCAGAAGTGGCCTCCACTGAGGACACATCTGCACAATAAAGGCTGCCCCCCCCCCCCCGGCAGAAGGTAATGCTTAAAACATTTTGTAATAATTAACAAACCTTGCTGGGTGTGGTACTACATGCTTTTAATCCCAGCATTTGGGAGGCAGAAATAGGTGGATCTCTGTGAGTTCAAGGCCAGCCTGGTCTGCCATAGCAAGTTCTAAGGCAGGGCTACATAGAGAGAACCTGTCTCAAAAAAATATCAAAATAGTAATAAACAAATCTTTAGGCTCAGGCCTCTAAGTCACTAAATAAGCAATAATGATGTCACCATTACATTTAACAAAATTGTGTACAAATAACATGAAGTGTTCAGTGGAAGACAAAAATCTGTCTGAAGCAAAAAATGCCTCTCAATGGTTTGTGCAGAGAAGGCTCGGTGGATAAAGTAGCTGTCTCAAAAGCATAAGAACCTTGAGTTTGAATCCCCAGGCCCCACATGAAAAAGCCAAGAGATCTGCTGGGTGGGGAAAGACAGGCAGATCCCGAGAGCAGGCAGGGGAACCAGTGTGGCCTAACCAGTGAGCTATAGGTTCAATGAGAGGTCCTGTCTCAAAAATGAGATGATGAGCAATAGAGGGAGAGACTCTCCATCAACCACTAGCCTCCACAGGCACACAAACACATACATATTCATGCATGACATACACACATGCAAACACATACACATTCATGTGGGATATACACACACAAACAAACACACATTCATGCAAGACATACACACACACACAAACAAACACATACATTGTGGAATATTATTTTAACTAGGCAAAGATGTGTTACATTTGTTTATGCTGTGGAATGTTACTTTAACTGTGTAAAGGTGTGTTACATGTGTTTCTGCTGCATTAGTTTAATTATGAAGATGTGTTGCTGTTTCACCTTGCCTGCCTAAGACACCTGATTGGTCTAATAAAAAGCTGAACGGCCAATAGCTAGGCAGTAGAGGGACAGATGGGGCTGGCAGGAAGAGGGAATAAATTGGAGGAAGAATCTAGAGAAGGAGAAGGAGAAGGAGAAGGAGAAGGAGGAGGAGGAGGAGGAGGAGGAGGAGGAGGGAGAAAGAGAGGGAGATGTCTGGGATCAGAAGCCAGGCAGCCACCAGCCAGCAGACACAGAGCAGGACATACAGAAAGAAAAGGTAAAAAAACAAACAAACAAACAAACAAACAAACAAACAAACCCAAGGCAAAACACAGATGAAGAGAAACAGGTTAGTTAAAGTTATATATATATATATAAAAAAAAAAGCTAGCCAGAAATGAGCATAAGCTAAGGCCGAGCATTCATAACTAATAATAAGTCTCCATGTCATGATTTGGGAGCTGGTTTGTGGCTCAAAAGAAAAAGCCTGGTACACACAAACATATTCATGCATGGTATACATGCACAATTGAATCCTATCATGAACTTGCTAACTACAATATGGACTTACATATTTCTGCGATCAAATTATCTCTTAAAAATACAATTAGAGCACTGGGAGTCTAATTAGTGAGTAAGAA